TTGGTCCAGTGAATGAAAATACATCAGATATTTACATTACAATTGATATCAGTAGCAAAATGACAGTTATGAAGTAGCAATGAAAATGATTTTAGGGTTGGGGGGTCACCACAACAGGAGGAACTCTATTAAGGGGTCGTGGCAATAGGAGGGTTGAGAACCACTGGTGTAACCAAACCTTCACATGTAGAATTGTATGCAGTATAATCCCTATATAGGATCTTGACTCTATACATACCTTCTGGAAAGTGTGAATGTTGGGGAGACGGTTGAGCCTGACCACTGCTGTCTAAATGCCATTCCTCCTCTTTTCCTTTCCGCAATCACGTCACCTCTCAATCTACTAAGCCAAAGCACACTGAGCTCCTTAAGTCGCACACCATAAGCTTTGTTTAAGCTGGTTCTTTTAAGCTGGTCAGGGATGCAGAGCTTTGCTTTGCTTCGCTACGCTTGCAGTTTTTTTCCTGGCCATTGTGGCAGTGATATAATTCCATGCTGCCAGTTGGGGAAAACAGTTTGAGAAATCTTGTATTTTTTTTTTGAAGTGTGCCATAAATTCTATGTTTCATGTTCATTTCAACATTTCTGGAAAAGAAAGTGGCCATTGACCACCAGGCCATTGACCACCATGGGCATTGACCTTTTGTGTATGTCCAGCTTTTCCTACCACGACGCAAAGATTATGGAGAGGAGGCTTAAGTCTTAACAGGCCTCATAAGGGTTTAGTTCCCATGACTTAATCATAGAATCAAAGAGTTGGAAGAGACCTCATGGGCCATCCAGTCCAACCTCATTCTGCCAAGAAGCAGGAATATTGCATTCAAATCACCCCTGACAGATGGCCATCCAGCCTCTGTTTAAAAGCTTCCAAAGAAGGAGCCTCCACCACACTCCGGGGCAGAGAGTTCCACTGCTGAACGGCTCTCACAGTCAGGAAGTTCTTCCTTGTTCAGATGGAATCTCCTCTCTTGTAGTTTGAAGCCATTGTTCCGTGTCCTAGTCTCCAGGGCAGCAGAAAACAAGCTTGCTTCCTCATCCCTGTGGCTTCCTCTCACATATTTATACATGGCTATCATATCTCCTCTCAGTCTTCTCTTCTTTAGGCTAAACATGCCCAGCTCTTTAAGCCGCTCCTCATAGAGCTTGTTCTCCAGACCCTTGATCATTTTAGTCGCCCTCCTCTGGACACATTCCAGAACTCACTTTCTGTCCCTGTGTGAATGCTGATCATGTATCATTCATAGAATCATAGAATCATAGAATCAAAGAGTTGGAAGAGACCTCATGGGCCATCCAGTCCAACCCCCTGCCAAGAAGCAGGAATATTGCATTCAAATCACCCCTGACAGATGGCCATCTAGCCTCTGTTTAAAAGCTTCCAAAGAAGGAGCCTCCACCTGTGGTCAACATTTAAAATACAGTAAGAACATTGTGTTGACAGAACCCGTATCTGTGGTTCCACTTACAAGTGTCTGGGGGAAAAAAATTTTAGGTATTTACAAGGTCTTCCAAGAGATTCTTCAAGCTGACTGTTGATCTATGATTGGCCCATACATTTCATATAGTTTCCTAGGCAAGGGATCCGCAGAAGTGGTTTTGCCAGTTCCTCCATATGATAATACCTTACTGCACTTGGTGTTCATTGGGGGGCAGCTACCATAATAATAATAATAATAATAATAATAATAATAATAATAATAATAATAATAATTTATTTGTACCCCGCTACCATCTCCCCAAGGGACTTGGTGTGGCTTACATGAGGCCAAGCCCACAATACAAAGTAAAAACAATAACAACAGTAATACAAAACAATAAATAAACTCATAAGCAAAAAGTAAGCAATAAAAATTAACAATAACCCAACAACGTTAAAACCTATGGCTGGGCCAATGTTATAATTAAAATATTAAAAATAATGCTGAGCATGACAGGTGAAGTACAACTAGGATAGAATTTTTGGAGAGGGATAGGGCATACAGACACTCCAAGATCACTAACAAAGTGCATTTAGGGGCATATTGCTTGGAGTTTCCTTATTCTGGGATGGCACACTGGAATAACCATGTTTCCAAGTTCCTCCTAAAGACTGCCAAAGTTGGGGCTAGCCTGATATCCTTGGGGAGTGAGTTCCAGAGTCGAGGGGCCCTCTTCCTCGTCCCCACCAATCGTGCCTGCGATGGAGGTGGGAGTGTGAGCAGGGCCTCTCCAGATGATCAAAGAGATTGTGAGGGTTCGTACACAAAAATGCGATCATGCAGGTAGGCAGATCCCAAACCGTTTAGGGCTTTGTAGGTAAGAACCTGTACTTTGAATTGGGACTGGAAAATGAACGGCAGCCAATGGAGCTCCTTAAAAAGGAGGGTTGTCCGCTCCCTGTAAGGAGCCCCAGTTAACAATCTGGCCACTGCCCGTTGAACCAATTGAAATTTCTGGGCCGTTTTCAAGGGCAGCCCTACATAGAGTGTATTACAGTAGTCCAATCTGGAGGTGAATAAGGCATGGACCACCCTGGCCAGATCTGCCTTCACGAGGTACGGTCGCAGTTGGCGCACGAGTCTTAATTGTGCGAAGGCCCTCCCGGCCACCGCTGACGCCTGAGCTTCAAGCGTAAGTGATGAGTCCAAAAGGACACCCAAACTGCGGACCTGTGACTTCAGGGGGAGTGTAACCCCGTCCAACACAGGTTGCCACCCTATACCCTGATCTGGTGTACGATCGACCAGGAGGACCTTTGTCTTGTCGGAATTGATTTTCAGCCTGTTCCTCCTCCTCCAGCCACATACTACCCAAGGCTGTCCCAGTTCACCATCCAAGATCAGGTGACATCTGGTGTCACTGATTCCTTGCCCAAGTAAAGCCTATGCAATTCATGGCACTGCCACAAATCATCAAGCAACTTGAAGGCACATATATACATGCAGAGAGTTCCACAACATCTGGACACCCATAGTTTACCTAGTCCTGTGTGAAAACTCATTCTTTTGTATTATGGGGCAAGGCAATATTCTTTCACTTCCCAAATTTCCTACACTATAATAATTTTAAAAAATGTGATGTGCTTAATAATGCTTAATGTTTTATCAGAGGAGGGGCGATTTTGATATTTCATACTGTTTTTTTATCAATGGCATTGAATTGTTGCCAACACTGTGAACCACTCTGAGTCCCCTTTGGGGTTGAGAAGGGTGGTATACAAACATCACAAATAAATAAACAATAATAAATAAATAAAACATCAACATAAGACTTGGACATTTATTCATTGGATTAAGAGGTACAAGACCCATGCAAAAGTGAAAACCCATGGATAAAAATTCCTTTTCTTTTTTAAAAAATAGATTTTTATTAATCAGTTTAGACATAAATACATGGAAAGTGGGGGAATATTCAAAAAAATGATAGGAAAGAAGGAAACACAACCAATAAAGAAAACACAATGAAAAAACAAAAAAGCAAAAAATAACAAAAAAACAACCAAAAAGAGGGGGGGGGGAGAATACAAAAATCAAAAATACAAAAATCAAAAATAAAATAAAATGACTTCCATTCCAATCTCAGGATCTTCTTATCTTTTGTTTCGTTGTTTTGTTTACATCTTCTTTGTCTCTTTCATTTTTCTATTTTTTTTTCATAGTCATAGAAAAGGAACCAGTCTGTCCTTTTTACAGATTTCCCAGAATTTTTCTTTAACAAAAAAGTTAGTTTGTCCATGTCTCTTATTTCTTTAACCTTATCCAGACACTCATCAATAGTAGGTATTTGTTCTTTTTTCCCAAATTTTGCAAAAATAATTCTAGCTGCTGTTGTAATAAATGCTAACAGTTTGTCTTCGTTTTCGTCAAGTTGTAGTTCCGAGTCAGTAAATCCTAACAAATAGTACTCTGGTTTCTTCTTAAACTTTCTGTTTAGGATTGTTTGTGTCTCCTCATGGATTAATGACCAATATTTAGCTATTTCCTTACATGTCCACCACATGTGGTAGAATGTACCTATTTGATCACAACATTTCCAGCATTTATCTGATGTGTTTTTAAACATATGGCTTAATTTTTTTGGTGTTATATACCACCTGTGGAACATTTTAATCCAATTCTCCTTCAAATCCATTGCATAAGTGTATTTTAACTTTTTTGTTCCACATTTGTTCCCACTCTCTAAATTGAATTGGCCTCCTTAAATTTTCTGCCCATTTGGTCATGCATGATTTGGCGTGTTCCTTTTCGGTTAACCATGCTAATAATTTATTATAAATTGTTTAACTATTTTCTTTTCCCTCTTCAAAATTTTGTCCCATATATTTTCATCCCATTCAAATCCTATTTTTAAAATAAAAATAAAAATAAATAGAGATAAAAATTCCTTTTCAAAAAACATGAAAGAACACATCTCTTGGAATCTCTAAGTCCTGCAACATATATTTATGGTCAACATACACTGAAGTTGAACACAGAACTGCTAGAAATTCGTAGGGAGATAGAACCTCTTTGGAGGACCTAGAAATTCATAGGGAGATGTTTTGCATAGGAATCTCTAGGTCCTCCAGCATGAGTCTGTGGCCAAATTCCAGTGCATTTTTCAAGAGAGAAAATTTTAAATAATCTGCAAATAATCCAAACCTTAAAATATGAGGGCCAATTTTACAGTTTAGTGAATGGGAACACAGCAAATAGATATGGTGGGGTTTTTTTTTCAGAGTTTTAAACTTTGCCGTGTTCAAAATATAAAGCCTGGAGTATCATTCTTGTGATGTGCATCCCTAGAGCCACAGCCCTAGCCACTGAAACCTTTTCCTCATCAAATAACAATTCTCCCCTAAAATGCAAAATACATCAGACTTGGTTGTCCAAAGCAGCAGAACTACAGAATATTGGTCCAAAGTCAGACTGGTTGAATTACTGCTATAGCATCCCTAGAAAAGGTCTTGTTATGGAATATAGGTTGGATGTCTTTAAAAAAAAAACAAACCTACTCCAATGTTTCTTTTTTCTCTATTTCAGAATTCAGAAAAAGTGCTCGTTCCTTCGGTCACCTTAATTGTTGGCTGTGGGGTGTCTTCCTTGACGCTTTTGCTCTTGATCATCATATACATCTCAGTCTGGAGGTAAAAATTATCTGTTTTCTGTGTTTTATTTTCTAGACAATAAGCAACTAGAGTTGTAATTGTCGAAGGCTTTCATGGCCAGAATCACTGGGTTGTTGTAGGTTTTTTCGGGCTATATGGCCATGGTCTAGAGGCATTCTCTCCTGACGTTTCGCCTGCATCTATGGCAAGCATCCTCAGAGGTAGTGATTTCACTACCTCTGAGGATGCTTGCCATAGATGCAGGCGAAACATCAGGAGAGAATGCCTCCAGACCATGGTCATATAGCCCGAAAAAACCTACAACAACCCAGTACCTTTTCTTCATTACTTTTCTTTTTTTTTTTTGCCCAGAAATAATATTTTCGCACCAAAACAGCTGCATTGTCTGCAAAGGAAACAACTTTTTCTATGCAGAATATTATTGCATAGAAATATTTCCTGTGCAGAAAATCCTATAATGAGATATTTATTTGTATATAATTGTTTTGTCCAGAAAAGTGTCTTGCCAGTCCAGGATCCTTGATGCCTTAGCAATATTTTTCAATTTTTGAAATACTGTTTACATTTTCATAAGCAACATATAGGTTATTTCTGCATCCCCTCCCAAAGAAGCCTTGAAAACAATGCTCCTGAAGTTGCTGTAGGTTTTTTCGGGCTATATGGCCATGTTCTAGAGGCATTCTCTCTTGTTTGTTTGTTTCCTTTCTGTTGTTGTGCTGTTCTAATTTTAGAGTTTTTTAATACTGGGAGCCAGATTTTGTTCATTTTCATGGTTTCCTCCTTTCTGTTGAAATTGTCCACATGCTTGTGGATTTCAATGGCTTCTCTGTGTAGTCTGACATGGTGGTTGTGAGAGTGGTCCAGCATTTCTGTGTTCTCAAATAATATGCTGTGTCCAGGTTGGTTCATCAGGTGCTCTGCTATGGCTGATTTCTCTGGTTGAGTTAGTCTGCAGTGCCTTTCATGTTCCTTGAGTCCACAGTGCTCTCTTGATGTGGGTGAACTACAACTCCCAAACTCAAGGTCAATGGCTACCAAACCCTTCCAGTATTTTCTGTTGGTCATAGGAGTTCTGTGTGCCAAGTTTGGTTCAATTTCATTGTTGGTGGAGTTCAGAATACTCTTTGATTGTAGGTGAACTATAAATCCCAACAACTACAACTTCCAAATGACCAAATCACCCCCCCCCCCCCAATCCCACCAGTAATCAAATTTGGGCATATTGGGTATTTGTGCCAAATTTGGTCCAATGAATGAAAATACATCCTGCACATCAAATATTGACATTACGATTCATAACAGTAGCAACATTACAGTTATGAAGTAGCAACAAAAAATAATAATGTTATGGTTGGGGGTCACCACAAATGAGGAACTGTATTAAGGGGTCACAGCATTAGGAAGATTGAAAACCACTGCTATAAATCCTTTCAAAATTCAATATGATGAGTTAATATATCAGAGAACAGAACAGAACAAAATATTCACAAGGTGTAACAACTTTGAACAGCTAAATTGAAACAACGCTATGCACCAGATCTCATCTGATCTTTGAACCTAAGCAACATCATCTCTGGTTAGTACTCGAAAGGGAGTCATTGAATATAATGTGGTTTGGGCATTATTTCAGAGGAAGAAACATTAAATCCTCTCTAGGCATTTGCCAGGTTTTCCAGGCCTATTCTTGTTAACTTTCAAGAGAAGTGTATCATAGAATCACCTGGAGAACTTGAACAATTCATGGAGAGAACATATTTTGTTGGATACAATATTACTCTTTTGAATGCCAGGGTTGTACTATACTTGCTTCAGTAATCTGCCGGAATACTATGGCATTGCTCTGCTTTCCGTGCCATTGCTATCTCTGACCCGGTGGCATCATGCTCTACTGAACTCTCCACCCCTGACCTCCCGACAGGGTCAGAAGCAAAAGGTGACCTTCCCAAAGCTTATAGCAATCCAGGCTTCCCCACTGAGTGGCTGTATCGCTCCCTGTGACCCCATGCCTTCCAGTGTGTAACTCTGAGCGTGACTGAATGAGCACAGCATTTGCTCTTGTTCAGCAATACCCCAAATGACCCATATCTGCCACATTGCAGCTTAATTCAGGGAGAAGTCTAGTACCATTCAGAAGAGATATAAACAGCCTCCCCAAATATGTCCCCTCCCCGCCCAGTTTGTTTAATTAAGATAAAATTGAGAGGCTATTCATGTGAGCAGATAAACTGACAAAGGCTGTGTAATCCTAATCCAGGCAGATTTTTTTTCAAGAATAGTCTCCATTGAAGAGGCTAATTTACATTGATTTCAGAGTGATTAGCAATGTACAACAAAATACAAAGTGCACTGTGTCCCCAGGATTTTTGTGTGTGTGCATATCAAGAGCATTCCAACATATCCAAGCTTCCAACCAAGATTGTTGAATAGTGTAAACCTTCACATACTTTTAAAATGTTAGAATGGCATTTAAAAGCCACCAAATAGATAAAGAACTACGACCAACTATCTATGGAGTATTCTTGCCAAATTTGGTCCAAATGTAATTCAAAAACCACTGGACGAATTGCCATCAAATTTGGCCACAAGACACCTACTAACTCAAGGAGTGACCATCACTCAAAAAATTGATTATGTCATTTGGGAGTTGTAGTTGCTGGGATTTATCATTAACCTACAATCAAAGAGCATTCTAAACTCCACCAATGATGGAATTGAACCCAATGTGGCACACAGGACTCCCATGACCAACATAAAACACTAGAAGGGTTTGGGGGCATTGACCTTGAGTTTGGGAGTTATAGTTCACCTACATACAGAGAGCACTGTGGACTCAAACAATGAATGATCTAGACCAAACTTGGCACAAATACTCCATATGCCCAAATATGAACACAGATGGAGTTTGGGGGAAATAGACCTTGACATTTAGGAGTTGTAGTTACTGGGATTTATAGTTCACCTACAATCAAAGAGCATTCTGACCAATGATAGAATTGGGCCAAACTTCCCACATAGAGCCCCATGACCAACAAAAAAATACTGTGTTTTCTGGTGGTCTTTGGTGACTCCTCTGACACCCCCTTTTGACACCCCCCCCCCGGTCCCGACCCCGGCCATCGAGTCCAGCTCCCTTCATCAGGGCAAGAAAACATAATCAAAGCTCTCCTGACAAATAGCCATCCAACCATAGATATAGACAGATATATCTTGATTCACACGTAAACACATATGTATATGACAGATATAATATCACAGATTTGAAAGTGACCCCTAAAGAAGAACAATAATATGTTCCATGTTCCAGAGTAGGCAAACCAGAAATCTCTACATCAACACTGACAAAGAAACAACAAGAAATATTGTTTACCCACAAGCATAAAGAAATTACATATATTAGAAACCAACACTTTCTAATTACTTTATTTTCCAGACTGGGCCACAACAACATGTTGCAGCACCAACTCAGGGAGAGAGGTTTTATTAGGTCTTTAGCCTTTTCTCTAAACTTCAACTCCCATGATTCCATTGCATTTCAAGTGATGTACAGTGTAAACACACTCTCATACTGTTGAAACACTTTCTCTTTTCTGTGAAAACACATTTTGCACTCATTTCCATCAAGTAGGAGCCAAATGAGGGGCAAAATGAGGCTACTTCTTGGATCTGCATCAAACAGAATGTGACTGAGTTTTGGATAAGGAAGCCCCTTTCTTTCCTCCAAAGTTGCATTGCACCCTGACTGATGCAGATACGAAATACAAATGGTGATCCAAGATGACAGTTTCCCCTACCAGAGCATTCAAATGGGCTCGCGAAAGGAGACACCCTGGGTTGAAACAACACTAGCAAAGATCTTGGAAGATCTGGATGTTTGCTGTTGTTTCTTAACCCAGAGTCAAACTGGATTAAAAGACTAACCCTGGATAATAATGCTTTAACCTGGGGCATCTTTTGGATGCCCCAGGCTAATGTGAGTGCACCACACTTTGTGGCAGTACACCACACTTTGTGGCAGTTAAGATGGGGCCTATGACTCTGGAGTTGTTGTTATTAAGTGTCATCAAGTTGACTTTGACTTCTGGTGATACCATGAATGAGAGACCTCCAAGTCACCCTATCATCAGTGGCCCTTTCCAGGTTTTGCAAACTCAGGGCTGTGGCCTTCTTGATTGAGCCTATCTGAAATGCAATCTTCCTCATTTCTGATTGTCTTCTACCTTAGCAAGCATCATTGTCTTTTCTGATGAGTCTTCTCTTGACCACACTATGACAGCCTTAAGTTTGTCCTATACGTTTCTAGAAAACTTTCAAACTTCATTCTAGGACCGATTTATCTGTCTTTTTTAGCAGCTCATGACATTTGTCTAACTCTCTTCCACCACCACATTTCAAATGAGCTGAGTTTCCTTTTATCAACTTTCTTCGCTGCCCAGCTTTCACCACAACAAATAGAAGTGGGATGACTCTGGACACTAAGATTCAAATATCTTCTTGGCCATGGAAACCCTCTGGATGACCTTAGTCAAGTCACATTCTTTAAGTCTCAGGGGAAGGCCATTGCAAACCTCATCCAAATATATTTTGCCAAGAAAATCCCATGATATGTCTTCATAAGTTTGGAAAGACTTGAAGGCACGCAACATCACACCAGCCGTGAAACAAGTGGTTGCAAAACATAGTCTACAGTAAGTTCCACAAATTCTAAAATTTAGTGCTGTAACATCACCATAATTCATAGTTGGGAAGACAAAATAAAAAGGAACAACAAAGGTTACTCACATCTGTCACTGCCTCAGATCACAGCGGCCATTGGCTGCTGGCCCACTGAGATCCAATCTTGTGTTTAATAATCTGAGGTTTTATCTCCTTTGCCACTTCACAGCCTTCTCTAGGCTGGAGGCCAGCAGGAAGTTTGACCTGCTGATCCTGTTTCTTCTGATTGATCTATCTCTCCCAGATGCAGGACTGCTCAGGCATGCTTCCAGTAGTGACAATTGGTTTGTGCAGCAGCCAAAAAGGCCAGGAGTCAAATAGAAACTCCTCATCTTTGTGTCTCAGTAACAGATAGTTCTAAGTTCCTTCTCTGAATATCTGTCCTAAAATCCTTGGCTTTCCCAAGCTATGGAATGGACTTGACCAAGGTGCAATTACAGCAACCACAACCCATCAATTGTATATTGAATGGGAAGCTACATTTGAACTAGGAAAGTCAACCTTTTATCTCTAAATTTGTTCAACAATGGTGGATGCTGTTGGATAGAAGCAATAGCATCTGTAGTATATGAGTATATAAATGTGCTTGTGACTTTCTCAGCCATCCCAGGGACTGTTTTACAGAATGTTGACCATTTTATTATGGAAAGCAAACCTGTGCCTGCTCTTCATTGCACTGCTAAAGAATATGGAATCTTTTTTGTAAGGATATATAAAATACCTCCTTATGCAAGTGTGCCCAGGAAACAAAGGTCTCCCTGTGAATTTGTTAGGTCCTCCCGGCAATTCTATGGTACATGCCCACCTGCCCCCATGTTACCATAGAGTCACAAGTGAAGAGCAAGCAAATTCCTGGAGGAGTGATGGCTCTCTGGGAATCCGTGGGTCCTCTGGAGCATCTCAATAGTAGGCTGAGATTAGAAGTTGAGTAATTTAATGATTTTTTTATCATATCTGTGTTTTCAGTTAACTATGGGTGAGCTGGAACGTATCCCTCATGGATATGGATGCTTTATTTTCCTACACTATGCTGAAGTCATACAGAACTGTGCTAATAGTTTCATACTTGATGACAAAAAAAAACTAATCTAGACTGCTAATCTGTTTCCACAGTGTTTGATCCATCACCCCTGAAATTTTCATTAACAAAATATAAATACAACTGTACTTTTCATCTCAGGCTTTCTAGCAACTTATACACAGAAGCCCACACCCACTGATATTGAAAATAATTTCTAGGACTGCTGACCACTGGTTATTGGCTAGCACTTCCATCTCCTTCTTTGAAAGGGAGGCTTAGTTCCTCTGAGTTTGAGCCAACTTTGGCTTTGTAGCTATGGCTGCAGCTGTCACCTCAGGCCAGTAGCAGGAACGGTTTCCTTGAGTTGGTCGACCAGCTGTCAGTTTTCCTTGCACCCAATTTGGCCTTGGGTTTGCCATCTGCCAACCCTTAGCAGTACAGAAAGATACACATCTTTCAAGTATCTAAATTCATGCCTTATAACTAAGGAAATTTATCTATACCAAAACTCCTCAGAAAAGATGGACACACATAACCCAAGTGATGCCTACCCCATGAAAAAGGTATATTATGTGTTTATTAGTAGTAGAAGGATTTTAAGATGTATCTTTTGTGTTTGAGATGTGATGGACTTGCAAGTATAAATGCCCTGGTATGCACCTAGGCTTGCAAAAACTAAATCCCTACCAGAAGACCCTTCCAGACAGGGTCCAAAATGCGAGCCTTGTGAGATTTTTACCAGAGTCATCCAAATGACATCTTCAGTAAAAGAGGATTAATTTGAGACAAAGAAAGTAAACCTGCAATAGTATGGGAAAAGCTCAGCTTCTGGGGGGGGGGGGGGTGTGGGGAAAGAAATGCATGCCATAGCAGCTTTTTAAAACCCACTTTAGTGCACATTTTTGTGAAGTCTGGAAGCGCCCAGGGTGTATTATTTCTGTTATTTTTATGGCAGAGATCAACATGCAACTCACTTATGCAGTGGTTGAACATCTGTCTTGGGACCTCATCACATTAGATTAATAATGTGGATTGATTCGGGTTGATCCAGACCTCGCCATTAGTGTTCAGAGTTGGACCATGTTTAAATAAAATGGAGAATTAATTTTCCACCATCACATTTGTTCTTCTTATCTAGATTCACCCACTTCATTTACTAGCACACACACCTGTGGAGTCCCCACCCATCCTGCTTCCTCCACCCTTTTCTTTCTTAAAAGACCCACCCACTGTGTGAAAACAGGAGTATGAAACCTCCACAGGGCAGAGAACTAAATAAGGATAGCATTGTGCCAGTGGCTGGTGTTTGGGCCATCTGACTACCAAAGCAGGGGTCTACAATCATTTCTTAATTACTTTGGAACTTGCATTGGCTAATCAAGATGGGGGGCGGGGGGGTCCAGATGTCATAATACAAAACATATCTTTTAATAAGCTGGGAGAGGGGGAGAACTTTCCTTAAACTCGAGAGAGTAATGGCAGCAAGAGAAGATTTACAGTTAACAGTTGGAAGTGCCCACTTTTTGCCCTCCAACTGATGTCATAAAATAGTTTGGCACAGTTTAAATGGCCAGTTGCCATCAGATGAGAAAATTCACAATTTTTCCCGCATTTAGGCATGTATAAACAGCTGAAGCTGGCAGATCGCCGGCTCCAAATAACCTGAAGTAGGCTTGTGTCATGTGATGGCAACCAAGGGATTTCAGTTTAACAGTGTCTAGAAATGGGAAAATTGTCTAATGTGATGATGTCCTATGTTACCCTGTCCTAGTTGTACTTTGAAAGATGTTGAAGAAGGAGGAAACTCCTGGTGAAATGGTATTTCTTTGGCTGGATAATTGCAGGTAGAAGGCAACCTGATGCAGCTCCATCTCCTCCAAGACTAGTTGGACTTCGGAGATGGCGATGCCTAGGACTTGTCCAGTTTGCATTGCATTAAAAAAATCTGGCAAAGTTTTACACTCCTCCTGCAGCCTAATAGGACTGTGGCCATTGACCACAAAGCTCAGAGTTGTGTCACTAAGATCTGTGGCTTATCACCTAGAATTACGCACACCCTGTCCAATTCCTTGGCTTTCAGAAATGGATTCCATGTTGCAAATCTGAGGTCCACGTGCATTCAGTTGTTAACAAGTGGAAGACCACTGATATTATTTTTTCTTTCTTCTGCCTGTTTGTCCTCCCTCTGCAGGTACATCCGTTCGGAGCGCTCAGTCATCCTTATCAACTTCTGCCTTTCTATCATATCATCCAATGCTCTCATTCTTATTGGGCAAACCCAGACTCGGAATAAGGTAAGGAGCTAAGTTGTGCTGGAACTTGCTCAAATTCCAGATGTTTTTAAGACTTTGTCTGGAACAGTATGACTGCTGTATCCATGTGATCAGTATCTGTGGTTTCACTTACCTACATCTGACAAAATATGCCCTCTCTACACCATACCGGTATTTTGTGAGCTCTCCAGCATGATCTGTGGTATGCATCCATCAGAAATTACCACAGAGTCACACTGGAGGACCTAGGAAGTATCTTAGAGAGAACATCGTCTAGGCATTTTCTAGGTCTCCAGTGCAATTCAATGGTATCCAACAGAAATAATTGATTTCAATAGGGTTACTGTTTTCTGTAGATTCCTGTCTCCATGGTAAGTCCAGGGATGTACGCTTGTAGACATGGGAGTTGTACTGTATGTAAAAGTAAGACCCATCTTTGCTTCAAGATAAGATTAATTGGTGATAGATAAATCAGTAAGTGGTCTACAGCAATGGAAGCATCACAGTCCATTAGCTAAGAGATTTCCTCATCCACCACACTACAAAAGGGAAAATCAGGTCCCAAACCAATGACTTCTACTACCCAGATTGTTCCAAAGTCAAAATTACAATCCTCATGATTCAGCCCACCCAGATGAAGTGTCTGCTGTTCTACAAAGCCACTAGAAAATAGATCAACAAGGCTACATATGGAAGAAGCAAAGCAAAGCAAATAAATAAATAAATAGAATTGTACCGGCTTGACCAATATCCAATCCTAGGGTGCATCTACACTGTGGAATTAGTGCATTTTGACAGCATTTTAACTGCCATGGAGTCCTATGCATTGACATTTTACAGTTTTAGCCTTCTCCTTAGTGTTTGTTCCTCACCAAAGTATAATTTCCATCATTACATAACAGAGAACCATGTTATCAAACTGCACTAATTCAACAGTGTGGGTGCACCCCTGATCATTCTGAAAGCATTACAAACAAGTTAGTAGAGAACTCCACTCGCCAGGTCTTTGCCATCTATCAGTCTTTTCCTAGTCTTGAATTTTCTGCAAAATGAAACTCTCTGTGCAGGACCTGTTGCTGCTGTGTTCCTTCACATTATTTTCAACACTAAGAAAAATCTATCAAGTTTTTTTCTGGGGCTAATAATGTGCGACTCTCCAAGATCATCCAGTGGGTTTCCATAGATGAGCAAAGAGTCAGATTATGGTCTCTGGAGTCTACTCCAACACGTAAGCCATTACACCATGCTGGTTTTCTGTTTTTTGTTATTTATTCATTCAGTCATTTCTGAATCTTCGTGACCTCATGGGCCAGCCCAGGCTACTGTTGGCTATCACCACCCCCAGCTCCTTCAAAGTCAAGCCAATCACTTCAAGGATACCATCCATCCATCTTGCCCTTGGTTGGCTCCTCTTCCTTTTTTCCTCCATTTTCCCAGCATCATTATCTTCTCCAAGCTTTCCTGTCTTCTCATTATGTGGCCAAAGTACTTCATCTTTGCCTCTAATATCCTTCTCTCCAGTGAGCAGTCGGGCATTATTTCCTGGAGTATATTGACTGGTTTGATCTTCTTGCAGTCCAAGGCACTCTCAGAATTTTCCTCCAACACCACAGTTCAAAAGGTCTATCTTCCTTGCTCAGCCTTCCTTTGGTCCAGCTCTCATATCCGTAGGTTACTACAGGGAATACCATTGACTTTAACTATGTGGATCTTTGTTGCCAGTGTGATGTCTCTACTCTTCACTATTTTATCGAGATTGGTCATTGCTCTCCTCCCAAGAACTAAATGTCTCCCAATTTCCTGGCTGCAGCCTGCATCTGCTGTCATCTTAGCACCTAGAAATACAACATCTGTCGCTGCCTCCATGTTTTCTCCCTCTATTTGCCTGTTGTCAAACAGTCTGGTTGCCAGAATCTTGGTGTTTTTATATGTTTAACAGCAACCCAGCTTTTTCCCTTTCTCCTTCCACCTTGGTTAGAAGGCTCCTCATCTCCTCCTTGATTTTGGCCATCAAAGTGGTATCATCTGCATATCTAAGGTTGTTAGTGTTTCTTCCAGCCATTTTAACTCCAGTCTTAGATTCATGAAGTCCTGCACGTCGCATGATGTGTTGAATAGGTTGGGTGAGAGTATACTATATAACCCTGCTGTACGCCTTTCCCAACCTTGAACCAGTCTGTTGTTCCATGGTCAGTTCTTACTGTTGCTACTGGGTCTTTACACAGATTCCTCAGGTGACAGACAAGGTGATTTGGTATTCCCATATCACCAAGAACTTGCTGCAATTTATTATGATACACTTTCTGTACACGACATAAACTTACTGTACAGATATTAACCCAATTGATGCCGATGAGCATCTTTGTCGATGCTGCTACTAAGGATCGCATTTTGTTGGTGACCAGAGAACACTCACTGAACACTGAAGGGACAGCTGATCCCTGTTTATTTTTTCCCCCTTTGCTAAATCATTACCTCATCCAAGCAAACGAATTACCTATTTATCAGCCTCCAGGAACCTGGGAAGCTTTCCGGAGAGCCCCTAGTAAAAAAGAAAGGGAAGAAACGACTTCAGATGAGATGGCTTTTGAATAGCTGCCTGCAGTTTGCTGCCTCCTGGCACTGTGCAAAGAACAGGACTGGCTTGTGAGGTTGAGTGGTTTTTATCTCTCAAATTCAAAAGGACAGATTGACCAAAGAGAGCCAGGGGAGCGTGTTCCACTTAATAAATGTTCTGCTCCTCCGTCGCGCCTTTTCCATCTCCTAGGCCTGGAGCCAATTGCTGACCTTAATTAAGGAATCCTAAAGCACGCTCCCTACCTAGGTAAGTAAAGGGGATGGAATCCGTTGTTCTGAAGGCTGGAGATGGAAAAGAAATTCACAGTAAATGAGGTTCTCTGCGGAAAACCACAGTCTGGGAGGCTATTAAGAGGACTCACATCTATCTTTCTGGGTTTCCACTCGGCGGCAGGAAATTGTGAGCATCGCATTCTCTCCCTTTTCCCCTCCAGACTCTACACGAGTAACATACTAGACCTAAATATAAATGAGAACCTACACGGTGCTTTTTGTTATAAATCTGAACTCACATAATTACAGTGCAGTTGGAGCCAATGATTTATATCCCACCTTTCTTCTAACATGGGACTCCATGCAGCTTGAAACAAAGCACAGCTAAAGCCTGATCAAATACAGGTTGAAAAATATTAAATAAGTCATGCCAATTCAAGGCACCACAATTCAAGAGAGATATTGACAAGCTGGAATGTGTCCAGAGAAAGAGGGCGACTAAAACAATCAAGGGTCTGGAGAACAAGCCCTATGAGGAGCGGCTTAAGGAGCTGGGCATGTTTAGCCTGAAGAAGCGAAGCCTGAGAGGAGATATGATAGCCATGTATAAATATGTGAGAGGAAGCCACAGGGAGGAGGGAGCAAGCTTGTTTTCTGCTTCCCTGGAGACTAGGACTCGGAACAATGGCTTCAAACTACAAGAGAGGAGATTCCATCTGAACATGAGGAAGAACTTCCTGACTGTGAGAGCCGTTCAGCAGTGGAACTCTCTGCCCTGGAGTGTGGTGGAGGCTCCTTCTTTGGAAGCTTTTAAACAGAGGCTGGATGGCCATCTGTCAGGGGTGATTTGAATGCAATATTCCTGCTTCTTGGCAGAATGGGGTTGGACTGGATGGCCCATGAGATCTTTTTCAACTCTTTGATTCTATGATTCTATGCTATTAAAAGAGCAAAGTTGGAAAACAGTTAATGCACAATGAAAAAGTGATAAAAACACAGGTTGGCACATTAAAATGCTTTTTTTGCCAGAAGAATTAAGAGCTAAAGGCTCAAAGCAGCCTTTGCCTGCCCACAGAAAGAGAGCCAAGAGTGGGGAAGTGAACCTCCTGTGGGAGGGAGTTCCCCAGGCTAGGAACAGCAACACAGAAGATCCGCTCCCATGTCCGCAGCAAGCCACACTTCCAGCGAATGCCAAAAGTGTGCAACCAGTGTTGCATCTGTAAGCATCCTTGCTGTTTCCACAATTTCAGGGGTACTTTGAAGGCACCAATGAGTAGTTCACCCTCTACATTTACTAGTATGTTTTCAACAGAAATTGCCGTAATGCTGTATTGGAGCCCCCAGTGGTGCAGCGGGTTGAACTGCTGAGCTGCTGAACTTGCTGACTGAAAAGTCGGCAGTTTGAATCCAGGGATCAGGGTGAGCTCCTGCTGTTAGCCCCAGCTTCTGCCAACCTAGCAGCTCAAAACATGCACATCTGAATAGATCAATCATCATAGAATCATAGAATCAAAGAACTGGAAGAGACCTCATGGGCCATCCAGTCCAACCCCCTGCCAAGAAGCAGGAATATTGCATTCAAATCACCCCTGACAGATGGCCATCCAGCCTCTGTTTAAAGCTTCCAAAGAAGGAGCCTCCACCACACTCCGGGGCAGAGAGTTCCACTGCTGAACGGCTCTCACAGTCAGGAAGTTCTTCCTCATGTTCAGATGGAATCTCCTTTCTTGTAGTTTGAAGACATTGTTTCGCGTCCTAGTCTCCAGGGAAGCAGAAAACAAGCCCTCCTCCCTGTGGCTTCCTCTCACATATTTATGGGCACCACAGTTTCAAAGAGATACTGACTCTAAGCTGGAAGGTGTCCAGAGGAAGAGGGCACCTTTATTCATCATCATCATCTTTATTTGTACCCCGCCACCAACTTCCCAAAGGGGACTTAGGGTGGCTAACATGAGGCCAAGCCAAAAAATAATACAGCAAAGTTAGACACAAAACAATAGAAAAATTACATCAAAAAGAAAATACATACAGTAACAAAATAAAATAAAATAAACAGTGCAAAATAACATAATAAATTCAAACAGAAAGGGCGGATCAAATGCACGAGATAAAATATTAAAACCTTAAAACCCTGGGTGAGATAGGAATAAAAATATATTTGTGAGGGAAGAGTCCAAGGTGGGGAGCAGAGGGGTTTTGCTTTATTAAAGACAGGGGGAAAGTGCATCATGAGGACAATAGTAGATGGAAACAATAGGTACCACTCTGGCAGGAAGGTAACGTTGCTCCATGCAGTCATGCTGGCCACATGACTTGGAAGGCATCTACGCAAAGTGCTTGCTCTTCGGCTTAGAAATGGAGATGAGCACCAACCCCCAGAGTCAGGCACAACTGGACTTAATGTTAGGGGAAAACCTTTACCTTACCTAGAGTGAGCCCAGGTCCAATGTCCTTTCCTGAACAAAAACAACAATAATAACAAAGCCCTAGAGTTGGGGAGGACTCCAATGGAAAACCTTTGCCTACCTTACCGGTATTGGAGAACCTGGCAAATCTCTAGAGATAATACTGGGACTCGGAGTCAGATAATGCACCCAGTTGCGTTCACAGTATCAAATGTTCTGACTGGTAATGTATCTCTGTACCTACAGTGATCTTATTGTATTCTCTCTCTCTACACACACAAACACACACTGGAATTATAAGTCATAAGAAACTGTGGCTGCTATTTCATAGAATAATAGAGTTGGGTGAGCCACATGGGCCATTTAGTCCAACCCTTGCCATGTAGGAGAAGCAAAATCAAAGTACCCCTGACAGATGACCATCCAATCTCTGTTTAAAACCTTCCAAGGAAGGAGCTTCCACCGGACTCCAAGGCAGAGAATTCCACTGTTGAATGGCTCTCTTTGCAGTCAAGAAGTTCTTCCGCATGTTCAAAGGAATCTCCTTCCCTGTCATTTGAACCCATGGCTCCATTGAGTCCTAGTCTCCCGGGCAGCAGAAAGCAATCCTGCTCTTTCTTCCTTAGGACACCCTTTCACATATTTATGCATGGCTCCCATGTTCCCTCTCAACCTTCTCTTCTGCATGCTAAATATACCTAGTTCTTTAAGATGCTCCTCATAGGGATTCATGGTCTCCAGAACATTGATCCTTTTTGTTGCTCCTCTCCTCTGGACACCTTCCAGCTTAGAGTCAGTATCTCTTTGAAACTGTGGTGCCCAGAACTCGGTGCAGTATTCTACTATTTAATGCAAATTGCTTGATGTCACCATCAAAGCCTACCTGTAGATATCAATTTTTGGCTTGCAAACCTCAAGGTTCTGAACTGTCAACCCTATGGAGTCTTCATGTTTCTAAGACAAACATTGACAGCTCTTTCTAGTTTCCCCCCAGGACTTGGTTTCCAGGTCCTGAACCACTCTTCTTTTCAGGCACCACAGGAATGCATTGGTTTTATCCATGGCCTCATCATGCTCCCTTCCTCCTGAACAGTCAATCCTCCAGTGAACCGAGACACTTCGATCTCTTTCAATGCGCTGCAGGCAAGATGAGTCATTGCCATTTCACACCATGGCTCCCTGGCTTAGCATCCTCATGAAGCCATACTGGCTTATGCCTGATCCACTCACAAAGACTGATACCTGCCTTCTGCTTGATGGAATGTGATGGTGATGCGTAGCCATCTTCTTCACTTAGAGCTTTCTTTCCCAGAACAATGTCTAATGATGGCCAGAAGGCTAAAAGTTTCATATGTATTTGCCTGCACCAAAGTGGGTAAAGTATGTCCACAGGGATATGTTTATGCCCACTGAGGCTCCAGTTATTTTTGGATGGATGGATATATTGGCACCAAATACTGATAGGAGTTATAGGAACAATTCCTCTGTGTTTTTGACATCCTCAAAGCCATTTTAGATCCAGGAGAAGCTTTTTTCCTTTCAGAGGATGTGGCCAAAAATGTCTTGTATGGATAATCTCTAGATGTGTTGTGACTCAGGTAACAGAGATTGTCTTACACAGCAATTGAAGTGTTAATAGCAGTCTTTAATATGTCTCTAACTGAAAACATCACTTAACAGCAGTGTAATTAGCAAAACAAAAGAGCCTTCAAGCAGGTAAACAAAGAAGTGATAAGCTGGATCTTCCAGGACTTGAGCTCAGCAAAAAGGAAAGCAGGAGTTAACTTGAGCGTGTGGCAAACACAAAATCAAAATAGCTTCAATATCAAGCAGAGTCCAGAAATATAACAAAGTCCGATAAGCAGTTGCGTAGTCTAAAGCTGATTCCAAGGTCAGAGGCAGGATGAAGTCACTCACATAGAACGGTTCCGAAGTCAAGATACACAAGGCAGGAAAGCTGGATACCAGGGACCCAAACAGAGGTTAGGCAGCACATAAGCAACACTTTGTCTTCTGCAACTTACACATCCCAACGTGCTCAATTTATTCACAGTCACCATCATTTAATTGATCTTCATTACTAGCATCTGATTCATTTCCCTCAGCTGCTGCCCCTTGGCCATGCCAACGCTGCCATCGTTGGTCTAATTCCTGATTCTGCCAAGAAGAACCTTCCCTCCAAGTACCTTGGAAACCTTCAAACTCATCGCTGGATGTTTTGGACACCTTCCAAACCATTTTAGGTCCAGGAAAGATCTTTCTTTCCCAAGAGGATATGACCCATAATAACCTATAGTGGGCCTAAAATGGCCCAAAGAACGCCACTGTCATAGGCCCCTTCTACAATGACATATAAATACAGATTATCTGGTTTGAATTGCATTATATGGCAGTGTAGACTCATATAATCCAGTTCAATCTACACTGCCATACAGTCTGGATTATATGGCAGTGTAGAAGAGTACTTGACCTCTGCACTCTTATACAATTGATAGAAGCCCATTTTTCATGTTGCTGATGGTGATGTTGATGATGAAATAATACATTATTATAAATATAATGTAGATGGTATTATCAAAGTAATAGAGAGATGATGGGTCTTCCTTCACAATTATTTCTGGAACAGAGGTTGTAGCTTTTATTGAGTGAATGATAGCTAGCTATCCCTCTCCTTCCCACCATTCCCTCCCAGATAGAGACTTTTTTCCACCAGGCCAAATCCGGAAAATCCATCTCTGCATTTGCAAAAAAGCTTTGAAGATGAAAGGGCCACATAAAAACGGTGCATATTTTTGCCGCCGGTCGCATTAGACAAAGGGAAAGGGGCCCGCCGTAGGTACTCTCAGCTGCAGCTTGGCAGCTTTATTTATTATGAAATCATGCCTGGCCAAGCTTTATCTCCTGCTTCAAAGGACAAAAAAAATCCTATCATTTCTGAAGGTAGGAAGAAAAGAAGTTTGATGTTTAGAATCCCACAAAGGAAACTGCAAATAGAAACTCATTTGCTGTGATTACTAAAACTAGAATATTTGGTTTTTGGCTGGTTTAATGTAGGGAACAAATGTGTTAAATAATCAGACTAGAGTTTGGAAAAGTTTTGTTTTGTTGTTTTTTTCCCCCACTTCTACTCCATTATAATTATAGTCACATGAGATGGAGAGAATAGTCTGGGAACTGCGGTGTGCAATAAATATTTGTACAACCAGTGAAGCAAAAGTTACTGAGAACCATCAATACCTTCTAATTCAGCCCCCTTCGATGAAGAAATATGCTATTAAAGCACCCATGAAAGATGCCCACCCAACCTCTGTATGAAAAACAATATTCAGGATTTACATGGATTTCATGACTTAATCCTCATCTACACAAGACATGTAATCCAAGGACCGTCTGGAGTAGCAATACTCCATCCCAGCCCTTCACTATCCACCTCCATGTTGTGATGGTGGGTTGGATTCCAGATCATCCAGAATGGCCAAAATTGGTTTGAACCTGCTGGAATTTCCCCTTACCTTTGTGATCCCCTGTTGCCACCACTGGAGCACCATGGAGGTCCAGAGATTTCTGTCCGTCACTTTTGTTACCATTAGTAAAAGCTCACTCTCATGACCAGGGAGAAAAGGAACTGGTTTCACCCACATTATGGATCAGAAGCCTTGAATGTCACCTGGAAATCCAGGAGTTACTTCTGGTCCAATAAAGAGTATAGGACTACTGTAGACAATCTCATGGTTCAGTTGTACAACATTCCTGTTGAACACAAGGATTGCAATAGAATGAAAAATGCATAACTCTACATGTAGAAATGTTTGCTATGGAAACCTGATGTGGGAACTGAACCTACAGAAGATACTCATGTATACATCTAATAACTTCAGTCAAAAAACATCAACTCACAAAAACTGGATCACTAACCACAAGCCAATATGAGTGCTTTAACTCTTATAAAAAATGAAACTATCTCTGAGTAGAGTGGAGGAAAGGGTTAGGTTTTTTGGACTCCAGCTCCCAGAAGCCATGGCTGGCTGGTCCAATGATCAGGAATTCTGGGAGTTGAAGTGCAATGCACTTGGCGCTTTGCAAGCTGGGTCTGAGGAGGGTAACTCTCCATCTGGATCTACACTGCCCTATACCCCAGGGTCTGAGCCCAGGTTGCCTCCTTATCCCTGATTATCTGGAAAGGAAAGAGCTTTGTCTGTCCCAGGAAAACCTAAAGGAAGCACTGACCTCATCCACTGTGTCCACCATGGTGCTGCTTCTGGGCTTTTAAAATTCCTGACTGAGGAAATGATGGCAGCAGATGAGGCCATATTGGTATTTACCCTTCTCTGTGAAATGACATTGGGTCATGTCAACATTCATAATTTTGCCCTCAAAACCCTCCCTCCACTTGTACATGAGGTTGACTTATATATGAATTTATACATGGGTCTATATCAGGCACGGGCAAACTTTGGCCCTCCAGGTGTTTTGGACTTCTCGCAATTCCTAACAACTAATAGTTGAAGTCCAAAACACCTGGAGGATCAAAGTGTGTCCATGCTTTGTCTATATGATATGTGTTTTTTCTGTCTCTTCCAACCCAACTGTTTGTCCACTTTCCCTTTCAGATCTTTATTTTCATGTGTATATCTTTCTCTGCTCTCTCTTTCCAGGTGATATGCACCTTGGTGGCAGCCTTCCTGCACTTTTTCTTCCTCTCCTCCTTCTGTTGGGTGCTGACGGAAGCCTGGCAATCCTATATGGCTGTCACTGGCCGGTTACGCAACCGCATCATCCGAAAACGCTTCCTGTGTCTTGGATGGGGTGAGGGTTCCTCCTTTCTCTTACTTGACGCTAAAAATGAAGTAATCTCATATGTTAATAAGGGAGTAAATAGGTACTAACACTTAGTTACTGAAACAATAGGAAATTGGTAAATTAACAACAATGGAAATTGAAGCATCATGCATTCCATGGATCTGTGCTAGTTGGGATTAATAATTCCATTTCAGCAATTCTACACTTTAATTGACAACCAAATGTGATTAGATAGGGAGGGACAAAGGAAAGCAAGAACTTTGCTTCTCTAGATGAGAAACTGAGTTTTCAAAATTTTGGGCAGCTGTTTTCCAAGCTCATAACAGGGAAGAAAATAATGTTTCGGCTATGTTCTAATAAGAATTTTCATGCAGAGATTTAATTTTAACTTAAAATGTAAACATTTTAAGCTAAAATATAACTTTGAAAGTATATATAATAGAAGGGAGGTTATTTTATCTTATTAACAACTAGCTGTCCCCTGCCACGCGTTGATGTGGCCCACATGGGGGTTCTGTGTGGGAGGTTTGGCCCAATTCTATTGTTGGTGGGGTTCAGAATGCTCTGTGATTGTAGGTGAACTATAAATCCCAGCAACTACAACTCCCAAATGTCAAGATTCTATTTCCCCAAACTCCACCAGTGTTCACATTTGGGCATATTGAGTATTCGTGTAGAGTTTGGTCCAGATCCATCATTGTTTGAGTCCACAGTGATCTCTGGATGTAGGTGAACTACAACTCTAAAACCAAAGGACACTGCCCACCAAACCCTTCCAGTATTTTCTGTTGGTCATGGGAGAACTGTGTGCCAAGTTTGGTTCAATTCCATCATTGGTGGGGTTCAGAATGCTCTTTGATTGTAGGTGAACTATAAATCCCAGCAACTACAACTCCCAAATGACAAAATCAATTTTTTGGAGTGAAGCACATACATTGGGCTTGTTAGGTGTCTTGTGTCCAAATTTGGTGTCAATTCCCCCAGTGGTTTTTGAGTTCTGTTAATCCCACAAACGAACATTACATTTTTATTTATATAGATTAAGCACATTAACTGCTTCAAGTGTTGGACCGTGACTTGAAAACCAGGGTTCATCCCTGCTTAAGCATAAAAGTTCACTGGGTGGCTCCGGGTAGAATCACTGAATAGAATCATAGAATCACACAATTTTCACTTTTGTGATAGGTTCACCTTAGAGTCACAATAGGTTTAATTCAGTGGTCCCAATTTATAGTCCATGGACCAGCAGTGGTACACAAGAACTAAAACATGGTCCGCGGCCTCACTGTAACTATATCATTGCAACGAAAGTGACTGGTCTTGTGAAACCCTCTTATACTGCCAAGGCTTATTAAATATGGTTTTCTATGGGTGAGCAGATGGCAACTACTGGATGGCATATGTTCTGTTTCAGAAGGTAGAGCTGATGTGGTCTATCCAATGCAGTTTTCTGGATCACCACCCCAAATAACCAAGCCAAATGTAAAGTTGACCAAAAACTGATTCGCAACCCTCTTGGCACTAATGTTGAAGAATGGTCCCTGGTCAAAGTGGTTCCTGGTCAAGTGGTCCTTGGTCAAAAAAAGGTTGGGAACCATTGGTTTAACTGGTGGGGAATCTAAAACTCAACTCTAAATTCTTATTACATAAGTAACTAGCTTTCTTGTACAAAGATGACATTTTGTATACTTCTTCATGCTTTCCTCTCCATCTCTGTTGTTTTATCCATTTTTAATGAACTTCTCTACAAAATTATGGCTTAGTGCAAGTAGGGTACCTGGACCACATGCAGCCCCTAAATCCCAATTGAGATCTCAACAGCATCACTCGATAGTTGTAGTCTACTACAACTATACAACCCGTATAGACTACTGCAATGCGCTCTACGTGGGGTTGCCTTTGAAGACAGTCCAGAAGCTTCAATTAATCCAACGAACGGCAGCCAGATTGCTAACAGGAGTGGCTCTCAGGGAGCGTACAACCCCCCTGTTGCGTCAGCTCCACTGGTTGCCGGTTTTCTACCGGACCCAATTCAAAGTGCTGGTCTTGGCCTATAAAGCCTTAAACAGTTCTGACCCAACTTACCTGTCCAAACGTATCTCCCCTTATGAACCAACAAGGACCTTGAGATCGTCCGGGGAGGCACTGCTCTTGGTCCCACCTTCGTCTCAGGTATGTTTGGCAGGGACGAGAGACAGGGCCTTCTCAGCGGTGGCCCCCCGGCTATGGAACGCCCTCCCTAGAGAGATTAGATCTGCTCCCTAACTTCTCACATTTCGGAAGCAAGTCAAAACATGGCTGTTTGAGCAAGCGTTCTCAAACACAGAGTAACGGATATGGATAAATGATATAGGAATGGACGATTGACGATGGAACTGCACAATGCTTGACAATAAGGAGACACTAATTATGTTGTTTTTATTGTTGTTGTGGTTTATGTAATTGTAATGTTTTAAATTGTTCTATGATACTGTGTATACTGTTTTGTTGGAAAGTGCCTTGAGTCGCTGATAGGCTGAGAAAGGCGGTATACAAATACAGTAAATAAATAAATAGTTAATTTCTAGACCTGTAAAATGCACTCTTCCATAATAATCATTACCAGCTTCCTTAATAATGTTTCCAAAATAATGTTTGGATTGACTAAAATTTGGCATATATTCATTATGGAGATTCCAACTTCATAGATTACGCTACAGATATTCTATGTGTTCCTGTATGGCAGAATGGGGTTGGATTATTATTATTATTATTGTTATTAAACTTTATTTGTACCCCGCTAGCATCTCCCGAAGGATTCGATGCGGCTTACACAGGCCGAGGCCTCAACACACAACACAACAATACAATCTAAGCAAATCAAACAATTAAAAACAGAATAAAGCAAAATAAACAACAGGCACAATACACTAAACACAATAAAACTGGGCCGGGCCAGAGCAATGGGTACAAGATTAAAAGTGCTGATGTGACAGGAGGTGTATATAGGGCTTCCAGGGCAAGTGCGATGTGCGATGTGCAGCAATCATTGGTTCTGATAAAGTGCTTATGGGACTTGGTAGTGGAGATTTCCTACTCTGGGAAGGCGCATCGGAAAAGCCAGGTCTTCAAGTTCTTTCTGAAGACAGCCAATGTAGGGGCCTGTCTAAGGTCTTTGGGGAGGGTGTTCCAGAGTCGGGGGGCCACCACGGAAAAGGCCCTGTCCCGCGTCCCCACCAAGCGTGCTTGCGACGCGGGTGGGATCACGAGCAGGGCCTCTCCAGATGACCGAAGTGAACGCGTGGGTTCGTAGATGGAGATGCGGTCACGCAGGTAGGGTGGTCCCAAACCGTTCAGGGCTTTGTAGGTAAGCACCTGCACCTTAAATTGGGCTCGGAAAATAAACGGCAGCCAGTGGAGCTCCTTGAACAGGAGGGTTGACCTCTCTCTGTAAGGGGCCCCAGTTAGCATCCTGGCTGCTGATCGTTGGACCAGTTGGAGCTTCCGAGCCATCTTCAAGGGCAGCCCCACGTAGAGTGCATTGCAGTAGTCCAATCTGGAGGTGACCAAGGCATGGACCACCCTGGCCAGATCCGTCCTCGCGAGGTACGGTCGCAGTTGGCGCACGAGTCTCAGATTGGGTGGCCCTTGTAGTTCCTTCCAACTCTTTGAATCTACGAGCAAATCTGAATCTAACCCACTCTTCTTGAGCTTGTATTTTGGGGAGTGAGAAAGTAGGGGTGATTTAATTTTAAAAAATAAACCAATTTTTAAAAACTTCACATCTTTAAAATGCACACATAATGGCCAAATGCTAATCAAAATCATCTCCCAAGTACGCCAGAAGATTTTGGAGGATTTAGACATGGAGGAGTATAAGACTGGTCCCTCCTACATCAGTGGGGCAGCAAATCCGCTCCGGGTTTTCATCTAAACTTTTATAAAGTTATCCAAGGTTTTTAATCTGATTCCTAAAATTGGTCTGGTACTCTAGATAGCACCTGTAAAGTTTGGACCAAACCCAAAGCAGATTTGCTGCTCCACTGATATGAAACATGCCCACTCCAATCTGAACTGGCACCAAAGTGATTTTTCCCCCCACCTTCCTCTGCTATCGCCTTCTGTGTAACATGCAGCGTAGCTCTCAAAGTCAAGGTTTTCTCTCCAGGGAGACTCTCCATTTGCTGTTGCTTAGGTTTATTGACTCAGAGGACTTTAATTTATTTGCTTTTCGTCTTACCTCAACTAATCCTAGTTTAATTGTCATTTAATATCCTTTGAAAGCTTGGCAGCCAAGAGAGGATTCTGATTCATCAATCTGGTTAACACATTATTGGCCGGAATGATGACATCCCTTATATCGAATTCTTTGAACTGTATTCATATTCAATTTCTAAGGGAATAATTAGAGATAATAAGCCTTTCAACCTGCCCTACTGTCCTAATTTGTTGTTGTTTTTGTGGAACTCAAGTTATTTCTGACTTATGGCAACCATTAGGAGAACCCTTCATTGTATTGTCGAAGGCTTACATGGCCAGAATCACTGGGTTGTTGTAGGTTTTTTTGGGCTATATGGCCATGGTCTAGAGGCATTCTCTCCTGACGTTTCGCCTGCATCTATGGCAAGCATCCTCAGAGGTTGTGAGGTCTGTTGGAACTAGGACAAAGGGTTTATATATCTGTGGAATGACCAGGGTGGGACAAAGGACTCTTGCCTGCTGGAGCTAGGTGTTAATGTTTCAACTGAACACCTTGATTAGCATTTGATGGCCTGGCAGTGCCTAGGGCAATCTTTTGTTGAGAGGTGATTAGATGTCTTTGTTTGTTTCCTCTCTGTTGTTGTGCTGAAACACAACATACAAACTGCTGAAACACAACATATAAACTATCTACAGACCTACCAAGAAAATCCAACAAATGCTACGTTCAGCAATGGACAAGAGGGATCCTCTCACTTCTGCAGGAGTCAACCATATACCATGCAGCTGTGGACATGTCTACAGCTATATGGCCATGTTCTAGAGGC